ATTTATTTTGAAAACTGCTATATTACAAAATAATCTCAATTAAGAAAATTCCACTACTAGGTCCTGATAGTTTTTAAATAATAAATTAAATATTAGGCTTATTTCTTGGAGTGCAAAACAGTGCAAAAGATATCAAATGTAGTTTTAGCCATACGTTTTAAACAAAAAAATATATTGTCAACTCTAAACAGTTTCCAGTCTTCTCACTTAAGAAATGAACAGCAACAGATCAGCATTTACACTGAAAACATTTAACCCTCTAGTGGGCGTCTCCTTCCACTTTAAGGAGAGCAGACACAAAATGGCGACCAGTTTCCTCTGTGACTTTGACCAGAGGGTCTCGCAGTAAAATCACACAACACAGTATTCTTTTCACAGATCAGAGCGCAGGTTTCTCTAAAGCTGACCAACGCTCACTTTAAGTTTTGACTGAGAAAAAAAAAAAAAAACTTGACGGAACACTGCGTTTTGCGCATGCGTCCGAATACGGTAACACTACGGCAAGCTGGCCGTAGTTAGCTTGCAGCTTCGCTACTTAGCTCTCGAAGAAAAGATTTTAACACCACTTACGCAGTTTTCAACTAAAAAAAAAGTAATAATTAAATCTAACAACTCTGATTTTGCACCAGACTCAGAATTACTGTAGTTAGACAGATCTCTATCAAAGGCTAAATGTCTATCATTTCTACCGTGTACCGTATATAGTGCACATTCCTACTTCAAACAAATACTTCTGTTTGATATAAAACAACAGATTTACTGCACTGAGTTTCACGTTGACCTAAGACCCCATTTAAGCAAGGCTGTTTTTGAATTAAACCCAAAATTTCTGTAGTGTTTCGGGCGTTTGTGTAATCAACAACAGCCGTGTAATCTGACACAGACACTTTTTGAATCCAGATCTCATTGTAGAAGTTTATGGAAGAGCCCAGCATTGGTGTGAAATCACACATGTGCACTACAGATGTCGTCAATAGTCGTTCTGAGCTTGCATGGTTAGCAGAGCAACGCTTGTGCTCCTCACTTATCAACTCATCACAGCTTCTGACACAGATCATACATGTGCTACACCATCTATCGGGTAGGCAGACGCAACTCGCACATTCTACAGTGAATGGACCTGTAAGTCTTATGTGCAAGGCTCGTGTCTGCATCGGATGAGTGTTATTAAAATACAAAAATCACAGTGCCAACTAGTGACCTGGCATGGAAACTACAAATGGTTCAACATTTTTGTGGACTATCTAAATAAACACAGCATTCCTGTATTAACAATATAGAACAGGGGTCTGCAACCTTTACGATCAAAAGAGTCTTTTATGCCCCTTCATTCACTAAATTAAGTGTTTGGAGCCACAAAAATCTGGTACAACTGTGATCATCAACTGGTGGCCCATGGGCTACTTTAAGTTTGTTGCAGGGGCCTTTTCTGGCCAGTAAGGGTGATTTTATCAAAGTAAAAATATCAAATGGTTTTTAACATTTTATATTTGTACATTTTAAGACAAAAGACCGGATTGTTGTAAATAAGCAAATGAAAAATATAGATTTTTAACAATTTTGTAAAATTTTAAACAATTAACTATGCAGGCCTATGATTTTTATCATTTTATTGTGGAAAAATCAAGTATCCTACTTTGAAAAGATAAAGCATAAAGTGAGTATGGTTTACTCTTTGTACTGCTTTACTTTTCACATATTTGAAGAAAAAAAAAAAAAAGACAGGAAGACTGTCAATACGACCCCGTTTTATTTTAGTATAACCACTACAATGCAGTTTTATGTTAGTTTTGGTCAAAGCTTGAAAGAGCTGCTGTACATGAACCAAAGAGCCACATGTGGCTCCAGAGCCGTAGGTTGCAGACCCCTGATACAGAACAAGCTAACGTTTTCAGAAGATTGTTGACTTGTAAACCGGGTCTAAGTTCACTGGCTGACACATCAGAGCTACTTTTAGAGTTGCTTATGCTGATATTGCTCAACCTTTGTCCATACTACATTAAATAGTCATTAAATTAATGATCTTACCCATCACAGGGACAGAGACAAACAACCATTCACTCTCTCATTCACACCTAGGGACAATTTAGAGTTACCAATCAGCCTAACATGCATGTTTTTGGTTGGTGGGAGGAAACCGGAGCACCCAGAGAAAACCCACGCATGCACGGAGAGAACATGCAAACTCCACCCAGAAAGGTCCCAGGCTGGGATTTGATCCGGCAACCTTCTCGCTGAGAGGCGACAGCTCTACCACCAAGCTGCAAATTATGATTTGTCACACACAGGATCGACGGTTGCTAATTTTTCTCAACTTTTTTGGTTGAGTGTGACATGATAAAGATGAAAACACCAGAGAAACTGCTTAAAACGAGAATTCAAGCAAAGAACAAGAGTGTACAAACAATACTTTGAGTTGTTGCAGACCGTGTGTCATTTGCTGCGACTCATCAGATAAATTGTCCCATGACTTTCTGACTAGCCTATTTTAATGCAGTTATCATTTAGTGTGAACTGAATATAGCAGAAACCACTAATCAAAGGCTGTCCTGCTTTCCAGCATATAGAATATAACTGAATATATACTCCAGTAGCAATCTCATGAACAAGCAGACACACCCTGACCAGAGTTAGAACAGGAGACCAAAGGAAGAGGCTCTGATCTCACCACAAACCCTGAAGCATCTCTGGCTTCAGTGATGGATGGACACGTACTTAAAAGCAGAAGAATGAGAAAGCGAAAGAATATGAAGGTTTTGTTAATGCAAGGTCTGAATTCTTCAGTCGCTACTTGCACTTAAAATAAGTTATGCTATTTCAATGGCACTTAAAAGTAAATTGGTTTCTTTTCTGATAAAAGAAACTTGAAGAGCTAAAGACCATTTACATCATCAGTTATACACAATGCAACACTGGCTTTAAGCGCTTTGATAATTTTATACCCATGAGCAGTAAAGAGGAGCATAATGATCCACCTCTGAACAAGATGAGGAGCACCAACACCTCCACATTGTGCAGAAGTTCAGCCTGGCCTCCAATGTAAGAAAATAGGTGCTTTATTTTTACTTTAAAACTAAGACACAGAGACTTCTGGTCACCATGAATGTCTAGTTTAAAACTTTATCACTTTGGATGGATTAAAAATAAAAAGCCCTAAAGAAATGGGAACCAGCTAACTTAAAGCGACGCTCATAGTTCATCTTGTAGAATTTAGAACAATACAAAGTTATCAGGAATGAGCTTAATGTAACTAAAACATAGTTTGACCTTTTTTACAAACTGTCTTATTTTATTTTATAATGTAGATCAAGGAGTTGTCATGGAGATAATGGCAGGAAATGGCATCATGGTGACCTTGCGCTTGACTAAATGCCATTTGACAGAATATTGCTTGGAAAATCTACAGAGCAGTAAATGTGCCCTCTCTAATCATTTTTTCATGCCTTCTTTGAGTGTAATTATCCATCCTCCATTTCGTCAGCCTGATTGTTGAGACTTCAGCTTTTCAAGTACACAACTGGACTGAAAGTCTGTCCTTGACAACCTGATTATCTTGACGAAACACTACAGGGGAAAACTTTTTTTTAAAAGGCAGACAAAAGAAAGATAAACTGGAACAACTTCTCCCAGCAAACACTCATATTAAAACACTGGCTTTACATGGAGTCGGTTGTGTTCAGATTTTGGTGAATGAGTCAGATTGGATTTGTAACACTAATGTCTAGAGCGTTGTTTGATTTGTCTGAGCGGCAGGATTTGCCTGCACAGAGTGAACGCCTCATGTTACACAAAGAAGGCTAATATGGCTAAAGCCATTTATCTCTGTATGTTCATATCTCAATGACAAACCAGTCTTGATATGAAAAGTATGGCAAAAGTTACCACAATACTAATAATGGTGAATCATATATTATTCACCAGAACTTGAAAAAGCCCGTTAAGCCAATAAAAGGAACCATGCATAATTTGGAGGGCCATAAACTGCAATATGAAACTACAGGGTCTGTACAAAATGTGAGAGGAGAAGTGGGAATTTGGGGCTGCTGCTCTGTACAGCTGTTTTGGTCTGCGGTATGCATGCATCTGTGTGTATTTCTGACCTGAGAGATGTGGTTGATGGAGGACTCCATGCGCCGCAGCTGCGAGGCTTGAATGTCAAGCAGCTGCAGCACATTGTTGGCTAAGGCATTGATCTGGTAGGCCACGCTGGCCAGGGACTGAGTGGTGTAGGCTTTGGTCTCCTCCAGTGCTTTCCTCTTGTCCTGGGCCTGCGTACAAAAAGGAAGATTGGAAGACAAGATTGTTAAAAATGTTAAAAAGTCTAAGTCTAATCCAGTTGGGCCTGATACAAGACAGTCATATCACTCTTGCAGTATTTAAGTCAGATTTGTTGTTGCTGTAGACCACCCAATCAGGCGAGGCATCCAGTTGTCCCCCCCTGACTCATTCCACAGATACCAAGCTCCCTTTGAAGGAGCTTAGATGTAAAAATATACTGCAACCCCCATGTTGAAGACTAAAATAAATACCTAATTTCAAACAAGAATACCCAATTTTATTTTTTGGTAGCGACAAATTCAAGTTTAAGAGCATCCTGCAAAGCCAACTTATGACTTCTGTTAAACATTACAAAAGCAAGACTCGGAGACTTAAATGCAAACTAACACACTTGTTCATAGTGCGGACTTAAAAAATAATTTAAAAAATTGCATTGCTTTGTTTGTAACTACATGTGGTTTTAAAAGCTCCGCTAGTCTGTGAATGAAACACGGATAAGAACAAGGCACTAACATTCAAAAGTAGTAAATGTCTGATTTAGCCTTTTCTGACCTAATCCAATGTGTAATATTAAATCAAGCTTTGCTGAACATGTCTACAATACTTTAAATTTAAAAAGGTAATGTACTAAAAACTACAGCTTTGGAGTATTTATTTGATAAATTTGGTAAAAGGTGATATCATTAAATAAATAAGCTTGCAGGGTAGTAAGATGCATGTGACAACCTTAGATGATAGGTTGCTCAACATCTCGCTGCTTCTTCAAAATAATTGTGAAGAACTAGGAGTGACTGCTTGGCAGGTGATCTGTATTTGTACTGATCAGTTAAGATGTTCAACATTAAAATCAGGGGAAGTGAAAGAGGTGTAGGATGATAATAACAGGAGTCTTTTTAATAGAGGTGAGAATGAGATACTGCTCTGCGTTTCTTTTATAGTTCCTGCTGCCATGTTAAAACAGTGTACTTTGTTACATGTATTTTTATAAACCAACATGTAAAAAAATTTAATTAGGGGTGCACCGATAAATCGGCCCAGATGTCCTTAATTTTGGAAGATCGGCTGATGAGAAACCGATTTTACTGGGTTTTTTTTTTTTAGTTTTAACAACAATTGTCTGAACTTCACTTTATATTTCAGAGCACTACCTCACAGCCAGTTAAAAACAGGTTTGTATTGTTTCTAGGATATTGTTCAAGGGCATGTTTTTCAATAAATAAGATTGGAAAATTGAAGGTGCATTGTGACCTTTATAACCTGACGGTGTCGCTTATAAAACAAAATCAGAATTGGCAGGTCAGACTTTTTAGAAATCGGTGATCAGCCAGAAAACTACAATTGATGCACCCCTAAATTTAATCTGTAATGTTGATTATAAAGAGATTATGTTTGAATTTATTTTCAGATGGATTCGTACTAAATACTTCTGTTCAACGTCCTGGATTACTTATTTTAAAAAGACAAATACGCTCTGTAACTTGGAGTAGTTTAGAAAAAAGGAAATGTTTTGTCAAGATCAGATTTGTAACTTAATAAAAATGAAGAAATTAAATTGTGTACGTTGTTCATTATAATACTTGGTGAGAAATTAGAATCATCCAATAGACGTGTCAGAGCTTTACAGAAACTAGAATCAACTTGGAAAACTGCACTCGGTGCATTTTATTAACTTTTCAAGCCTACAGGCAATAGAGGTTTTATGCTAAAACCTTCTAGTGTGACGTTTATTATTTAGTAGAAAGTCAAGTAAGCATAAAGAAACAGTTTTAACAAGTTGTCAGGCAGGACAGTAAGCGGTTTACAAAAACCTCTGGGCTCAATTAGGAATCAGCAGCAACAATTCACAGCACAAACTCAAACTGAAGTTCAGTTTAAAACAAATATGTTATTTACTTATTTAAAAACTATGTTTTAAATTCAATTCAGTACCTTTTAAACTTGTTTACTTCCCCGGTTACAACAATTCTTGGTGAAAAGTAAGTTATAAAAGAGAATAACCCCAACTATTCCTGCCACACATCTAAACATGACGATTAAATGAGAGCAGATTGTAAAAACAGAACCGGATCCATAGTGATGATAATCCTGAAAACTTCCCCACAGATCACTCTTTGTAAAAGACAAAAACCGAGATTTGTGACTTTTGATCTTTGTGTACTCTGTCCTCTGCTGCTCCCTCATAAAATCCAGGACGCTCTGCATGGAGGGGCAACACTGGGCCTGATGAGGCGTTGCTAATCCAGAATCAATCTGAACGGCCAAAAGAGCTGCTTCGCTGTCTGAGGTGAGGACATGAAAACATCGGCTGGGATTTCTTTTTAGGAATCAGTGCAGGAGACATCGTGAGAAATCACAGCCTCAGAAAAAATGAACGACTCCTCCGAGGAGCTTTGTGCAAAGGGCCGTGTATTGCAATTACATGCTCGCTCGTGTACGAGCTACAACCACCACGGCAGTGTGCAGCCTTAGTGTAACAGCTGGATGAAAACAGATTAAACAATTTTTTAAAAAGCTTAACGTTACATCCCTGGTGGTGTTTTCTCAGCTGGGTGACGGAGGGCAGGTTTTGCTGTGAAAGGAGATTTCAAACAGACTCCTGATAAATTTATGCTTACCTGTGCAGAACCACAGGCTTATACACCAAACTGCAAATCAGACAACTTTAATTGCTTCAGTCTAGATTAGAAATATCTATAAAAAAAAATTCACGCTCAAAGACATGTAGAGTGTGTGTGTGTGTGTGCGTGCGTGCACGTGCGTGTGTGTGTGTGTGTGTGTGTGTGTGTGTGTGTGTGATAATTACAGCATCAATAATCAGTAGAATTTGCTCAGTTCTTTCTAAAATAAAAATGTGAACACCTTCACAAATGAACACGTCTAAAAGTAATTGGCGAGTTTTTGACTCAAAGCAGGAGCAGTTTTTAATAAATGAATTTAAGAAAACTCGGATTGAGGAAGTCCTTTGGATGAAGGATGAAATGACTCGGCATAAAAAACCATCCAGATGCCCTGACTGAACTTTGTTGGATTTTATACATTCACTCTCTCACTCACACCTACAGACAATTTAGAGTCACCAATCAGCCTAACATGCATGTTTTTGGTCTGTGGGAGGAAACAGGAGTACCCGAAGAAAACCCACGCATGAACGGAGAGAACATGCAAACTCCACCCAGAAGGGTCCCGGGCCGGGATTTGAACCTGCAATCTTCTCGTTGAGAGGCAACATCTCTACCAACACCATTGTGCCGCCCCACAGATTTATCTTTACAGATAAATCAGACTGATCTGTCGTGGAAAGGGCTACATCTGAGCTTTTCTAGTTTGAGGTTAAATCCATCAAATAACATCCAAGGCTGCAAAACACATTTTAATCAATTTCATTAGGAAGAGGGAGAAAAAAAAATACACACTTTAAATCTCTGCTGATTTATTATTCTCTCTAAATTTCTGATTGAACTCGTCTCGGCTTCATTTGCTTCCAGAGATTTGACGTGAGGTCAGCAGTGGGTGTTGGGAGGACAGATGTGACACTAGATTGCAGCATCTTAAAAGCCTCTCGCTCTAGTTACAACCTCTGGTCGTGCATTATCCACACATAAGATATCAGCCATCCATAAAACTAACTAACCAGATTTTATGGCAAGTTCCCCAACAATCAGCTCTTTCCAGAAACACTACTGCAGGAGAGTGGTAAAGATAAACATTTAAGAATGAACAGAACAAGAGCTGCTTGCAAAAAAAAAAAAAAAAAAAAAAGATTAAAGTGTGTGATTCACCAGTACCAAATATCAGAGCTGTATAGTCCACCACAGCAGGAGACTGAGAATGAGGTGAGCTCCCAGTTAGTGCTCCTGAGGCACTTCATCTCATATTTCTGAGCTGAGTAATGACTGAAAAACTCCAGGCAGTAGTAGACCGGCTGTCAGCACCACAGCAGTGTTTTAACAGAGGAATGCACCACAATAAACATGTAGCTGAGGTAAGCACGGCAATCAAGCAGCTGCAGGAATGCACAAACTTATTGGTAAAGTGCGACTGAGGAAAAGTTTAAATGTCTTCAAAGAGCTGCATGCATGCAGACATGATGACGAATTCTTCTCACAAAAAGGGAGTAGCCAGTCCAACACACATCCATCCAGTCTGGGAAGATAAACTGTCAAAGGAGTGCAATCAAGCTTTTTAAAACAAAGCATCGCATTTTCTTTCCATCCGGTCTGACCAGTTGAACCGAGACGCTACCAAAAACTATATTTCAGAGGATGGAAACAGGGCGAGGGTCACACAATCCCACGAGAAGGATGAGCAGAACCAGGAAAAACAAGAGAAAACTAAAATATCTCAAATTAACATTAAAATATTGCTGAATAGTTTAATTGAGACAAGTAAGATGTCTAAAGAGTTCTTCTGAGGCTTGAAGTATAAAAAAAAGGGCTGAAGGTTCGAACATGTTTGAACATCCGACACTAAAACAACACATTTTCACTGTTTCTTCTGCTGATTCTGCTCTGGACCTGCACAGCTGGGGAACACATTTGAGTGTTCCCAAGCAGCTAAAGAAAGTTCAGGAATGTTTGGAATTCTTGACATTAATCTCCACAATAATCTACAAACTTTAAGGAAGTCCTGCCACGGAGCTCAAGAGTCATCCCCAACAGAGACGGGTCTGACAAACTCAACTCCTCCTCTTCTTCTTCTAAAAAAAAAAAAAAAAACAAGAAAAGCAAAGAAAGCCCTCATCTGGATCAAAAGGTTCTGGATTAGGCTGAGAGGAGTGTAAATCCAGCTAAAAGGTTGCAGGGCTCACGTGGTGCTTCGCTCCCTGTGATGTATCAATCACAGCAGGAAGGATGAGGTGAGAGAAGTGAGACGGGAGGCAGCAAAAGAGCTGCTGTATCGACGTGGATCTCCAACATTCAGCAGCAGTTTGACTGTAAGGTGGAGCCCACTAATGAGATTACGAGACAGACACGTTTAAGATCTGAGCAAG